AGATCACCTACGTCGCCAATTGTACCAACTTCCGGCGACTGCTTCTGAACAAGCACGGAAGGCCGGATATCGATATCGACAAAGAGATCAGGGAGAATGCGGATACGAGACTCACTTATCTAGGCTACCGCAAGTTTCTCGAGTCGGATTTGAAGCACATCTTCGCGCTTGGAGAGAATCGCGGCAGCAACCAATACAAGAGGGACGTCAAGTATCTAGCCAAGCAGATGCTTTTCAGAGGATACGTAAGTTCCGACAGCCCTCGCCCTAGTGGCTGAGCTATCGGACACTAACACCAAGTACAGGCTTACGCGGGAGCAGTCAAGGCGGCCTTCCCAAACCACCTGAGGTTGTCGATACACGAATCAATAGGCGACCTCAAGATCTCGATAAGTCTCCTCAACACCAAAACAGGCTACACTACACCCTGGCACTGTAGCGTAGCCATGCTAGCCGACGGGGAATGGGTTAGCGCTCCGAAGGGCGAGTTCGAGAAGGACCAGCGGCTCGAGCTGATATACGAGAACGGGCGACCAAGCTACTTCAAGGAGAGGAAACTGCAACGTGCCGATATGCCGTGGATCAACGAAGCAAATACGAGCTACCTGCAGGCTCGCAGCCTGTTCAATGGCACGAAGAGCGGATACTCATCCCCGAGCGCAATGTCGATGGCCAGCGGCGCTTCGACACCACCGACCTCTTTCGCACAATCACCACCGCGATCCCCACCACGTTCTTCACCGAACATGAAGTCCTCGGATTCATCATACACAGACGCCACTGGAGGAGAGCCGGACTATGGCCGTCGCCTCATACCCCAAATCATGGACCAACTCGCGAGAGATCACCCTAATCGTGTTGTTTTCTCGATCGCAAAGCCTTCTGGTGCAGGTCTAGCATACCGAGACATATCAGCGCATGCGTTTGCGAAAGCTGTAGACAAGACAGCGTGGTGGCTTCATGCACAGATTGGCGAGTCGACATCCGTGCGGCCAGTAGGCTATATCGGGCCACACGACCTCCGGCATGTTCTCCTTACATATGCGTGCGTCAAGGTCGGCTACGCCGCACTCAATCTTTCGCCCAAGAACAGTGTTGAAGGCGCACTGGCCGTGCTCGAAGCAACCAACTGCGACATCTGGGCCAAAGCAGGCGAAGTGCCGGCAGTACCTCTAGTGAAGAGCTTCCTGGAGAGGCGTTCGATGAAGTTGTTGGAGCTACCACTTTTAGACGATCTCTTGGATGCGGAAGACACCAAGCCGTTTCCCTACGCCAAATCCTTTGGAACTTCGGCTTCAGATCCCTTCTGCTATCTTCACACATCGGGCTCGACAGGTGTACCGAAACCTATTCCTTGGTCTCATAGCCTGATCGGATCGATGGATGCGATTCGCCTACTTCCACCTGTCGACGGCGATGAGGGGCTGGTACCATGGACTTCAGACTGGAAGGAAGGAGATCGGATCTACTCTTCCTTTCCTATGTGTCACGGCGCTGGCATCATCATGAACATCCTGATGCCCATATTCTTTGGTCTACAGGTTGTCATGGGGCCAACAAACGTTATACCCAACCTGTCGCTGGTCGAGAACCTTGCCGATAGCGCGAAGATCGACATTTGGAGTATGGTACCATCACTTGTCGATGAGCTTGGAGACACACCTGATGTGTTGGCCAAGCTCCAGCGATCCAAATTCATCTGCGCATCCGGTGGCCCGGTCAGCCCGATTAGTGCCGGCAAAGTCAACGACGTCATCAGAGTGCTCAATTTGACGGGAACGACGGAGGGTCTTTTCATCGGCAACCTCGTTGTTGACAGGGAGGATTGGTTCTGGTTCGCCTTCCATCCCTACTCCGGATTCGAGTTCAAAGAAGTGGAGCCTGGCGTCTATGAGCATTGGGTTCACCGCAACGAACATTCATCCTTGTTCCAAGGCATCTTCCACACATTCCCGGAGAAGACATCGATCAACTTCAAAGATCTCTACAAGCAACATCCTACCAAACCTAACCTTTGGGCGTTCACTGGGCGCAACGACGACCTCATTGTTCTCTCCAACGGCTACAAGATCTTGCCCTTGGAGTTCGAAGCACTAGTTGGCACTCACTCTGCGATCTATGGTTGCCTTGTTGTTGGGAGCCACAAGCGCCAGGCAGGCCTTCTCATTGAACTGAAGGATGCTTTGACCAAGAGCGACGAACTCATGGACAGCATATGGGCCAAGATCGAGACAAGCATGTCTTCTGCCCGACACACAGTCAACTTGACACGCGACTACGTCATATTCGCGCAACCAGACAAACCCTTCGTTCGGACAGATAAAGGGACTGTCAAGAGGAAAGCAACAATGGCGCTGTATAACGACTATATCGAGCGGTTCTACAGTTATCAGAACGAAGAGAGGTCTTTCATCGTTGACAGTACCTCCACATCAACGTTGCAGCAGTCAGTCCGAGAGATACTCGCATCCTCTCTTCCAGCCACCTCCAATGCCACTCCAGACGATGACCTGTTCGCCCTCGGTCTAGATTCTTTGGGAGTGTCTGCAGCCGTTAGTGCCATCCGAACAGCTATCACAGGCCTGGACAAACTTGCACCCCGTCATCTCTACGCCAATCCAACCCTAGCCAAGTTCACCGCCGCTCTCGAACCATTGATCGCTGGAGCAAAGAATGGTGCCAGATCAGGTGACGATCAAGAATCGAAACTGCAGCGCATGATCGCTCAGCGAAGAGCGTGGCAGTCCTTCCGACTGAATCCCTTCGACTACGTCAATCCGAATCACTACATGGGCCTGGTGTTTTACTTTCCGCTACAGGCAGACGCGTCAATCGAAGAGACGTTTGCGAACATGCAAGCAGGTCTCAATCGGACTTTCGATCTCATACCAGCTCTTGGGGGCAAGATGATTCGGTCTTCCGAAGACGAGATTGCACATGCAAATGGCGATCTCACCGTTGCAGTGCCACCTTTTGGTCAACCGGCTCGTGACCGGCTGGTGTTCAAGGATCTATCCGACGTGCTTCCGACTTTCGAGGCCCTACGAGAAGGCGGCTTCGTGCCATCAGCCTTCAAGGACGAGTTGGTTCTTCGTCAGGATACCTTTCCACAGCTACCCGCCGATATTCTTGTTGCGCAAGCCAACTTCATCAAAGGCGGTTGCATCCTCGCCATTGACCTCAACCACTGCTGCCTGGATGGTGTAGGTGCTATCATTGCCATCAAAGCTTGGGCAGAGAACTGCAGGTACCTGCAAGGTGATTCATCAGCAACATGTGCGTGGTACGATGCGGAGAGCTTCAATCACAGCCTCCCCGAAGTACTGCATGAGCTGGAAGGACATGCGCGCCCAATAGATGAGATCGACCCTGATGTCTGGGGCTTACTTCCATTCGTTCCCACGGACGATGTCCTCGCGAAACATGCTGCCAGGGCAGCAGGACCTCTCGGCCGACCGCCACGCTACCCGCTGCACTCGGTGTGGCCTTTGCCGGCTGCAGAGAGGAAGATGGATACTACTCTCTTTCTGATCCCACCCGAGAAGGTCGAGTTACTCAAAGCGGACGTCACAAGCGATCCGGCTGCGAACGGTGTCAGTACGTCTATCAGCGATATGGTACAAGCCTTCTTCTGGCGCTCGGCATTGCGGGCTCGCTACGCTGTAGCCAAGGCCAATGGCCAACAGTTCAGCCCTGACGACTACTCCATTCTCGAGTTGCCAACGGACGGACGACCCTACTTCTCCTCCCTCTTACCAGACTCATACATGGGCAGTTTGCTCACTCTCAACCGAACGAGCGTGCCAGTCGAAGAACTCTGCGCCTCGACCACGAGTATTGCAAGTATCGCGCAGATGCTGCGTGCTTCTGCTGCGCGCATGACGCCAGCACTGATCCACGATGCTTTTACCCTCCTGCATTCACTGCCAGATCACAGCAGGTTCTCCACAGCCAATATGGGTCTTGACCACATGCACGCCATGATCTCCAATATGATTCTCTTCCAGATGAACGAGATCAGCTTCGGTGATGTCTACTTCGCCAACCGAGGTTCGCCAGAGACGATGAGACCCCAGCTAGAGCGTGGAAGCGGGCGATTCAGGTTCTTAGTAGTGTTCCCACTGAAGGCAGATGGTGGCGTGGAGTTGGTATTGGGCACGTTCCCCGAGGAGCGGGATATGCTTGCACGTGATGAGGAGTTCACTAGATATGCGCAACTGGTTGATGTCGCTGCTTGTTGAGCTAGGTAAGGCTAGGCGCTTTGACGTGATTGCGGGGGGGTATGATAGCTACTGCGCGTATAATTTGACTCTTGACCTTATTCGAACGTGTGCAGTATCACCCTGAGAACGAGCGTCACCGCCAATAAGATGCAGCTGCACTGGTCGCCCGGCACGATGACATTGCGGAGCAGTTTCATGCACCATGTCTCAGCGGCCTAATGCAGCCCCCAAACGCATGTCAGCCGTGTATCTTGTACCCCCACTCTTGCGCATTAGCAAGGTTCAGGGTTTCGGGCCATAACAATCGCAAATATGCTCTTTGCCCAGCCGCTTGTGCCACCCGCATGTCATGCTCGTGTTGTGCCATCAACTCGGTGAAGGTGACAAGTCAGCTTGGCACAAGAGACCGTGGCTTTCTGACGTGCATGGTTGCTACGACTATCGGCGGCTGAGCTTTGAGTGTAGTCAGCTGCGAAGTCGTGCCCCCACAGTAGACTTCAGTCTCGTCGATACAACCACCCAAGTCTCTCGAGACCGCAAGTCTGCGACATGCATTCCCCCCGCGCGTCGATCGAAGAGCCTCTTCTCTCTCCATCCTCTTCAACATCCACATCCGCCGAGCCTACGAAATCCAGCATCGACGACACCCGCCATACCCATCTTGAAGACCCACCATCCACTCATGACATCCCATCCACCGCCACCCAACCAGGCGTCCTCGCCATCGAAGCCACAACACGCGCCTGGACAAATCACTCCCTCACAACAGCCTACATAATGATCTACCTCATCTACTTCGTCGAAACACTACTCGCCGGCACAACAGCAGCGCTCGTACCATACGTCACATCCGCTTTCTCGATGCACTCGCTCACGCCCACTGTCAGCATTTTGAGCAACATCGTCGGCGGAGTCACCAATCTGACGATAGCGAAGATCATCGATGTCTTCGGGCGACCGCATGGCTTCATCCTCTGCGTGATTCTCGGTACGATGGGCTTGCTTTTGATGACGGTATGCGAGGGCGTGGGGACGTATGCTGCGGCTATGATATTTCATACTGTGGGCAATAACGGGGTGCAGTACATCTTGTCGGTGTTCATCGCGGATACGACGAAGCTGGAAAACAGGGCGCTGATGCAAGCGCTCATGAACTCGACTGGCCTGCTCACAGGATGGGTGGCTGGACCGTTAGCGCAAGGGTATCTGAATGGCCTGGGGTGGAGGTGGGCGTTTGGCATGTTCGGCGCACTTGTTCTGCTTGTTACGCTGCCGCTGTTTGGGCTGTTGGTGTGGAATTATCGGAAGGCGAAGAGAATGGGACTTGTGCGTGAGCGCAGCAACGGTCGTAGTAATGCGCAGTCTGTGGTGCATTATGGCCGGGAGTTTGATGCGATCGGCTTGTGCTTGGTCTCGGTGGGCGTTACCCTTTTTCTGCTGCCGTTCAACCTTCACACGTTGGCGGGAAACGGTTGGGCATCGCCGTTCATGGCGGGCATGTCCATATTTGGCGTCTTCCTCCTCGTCGCATTCGCATTGTGGGAAAGGTCTTTTGCGCCCATCCGCCTTCTTCCATACAGTTTGCTTCTCGATCGAACCGTCTTCGGCGCATGTCTCCTTTGCACATGTCTCTTCGGCAGCTACGCCGTTTGGAACAGCTACTTCGGCTCATACCTGCAAGTCGTGCAAGGTCTCAGCGTAGAGGAAACGAGCTACGTCGCGCAAGCCTATACCGTGGTCAGCGTACTATTCGCGGTCTTAGCTGGCTACATCATCCATCGCACCGGCCGCTTTAAAAACGTTTCGCTCGTTATTGGTATCCCGCTCAGCATGCTGGGTCAGGGTCTCATGGTCCTTGTCCTCGCTCCGGGGAACACCGGCTATATCATCGTGTGCTTCCTCCTCATCTCCGTTTCACAAGGCGTCCTCGTCGTTACGGATGAGATCGCTATCCTGGCCGCAGGGTCACACGAACATGTTGCGGCGATGCTCGCTCTCGTGAGCATCTTCGGCAACATCGGCGGGGCCATCGGTTTGACTATCGCTGCCTCAATCTGGTCGGACGTGCTTCCAAGTCGACTTCGGCAATACCTGTCCCCGGAAGAGTTGCCAAATCTTCACGATATCTTCGGGGATCTGGCGAAGCAGCTTTATTATCCAATCGGCTCGCCCACGCGCATCGCTATTCAGCATGCATATCAAGACGCGATGTCTCGGCTTCTGCTCGTGAGTACGGGTATTTGGGTCTTCGGCGCTGTTGGAGTGTTGATGTGGCGGAATATCAACGTGAAGGAAGTTCAAGAGACCAAGGGCCATGTTTGGTGATTGTGAAGTTGTCGGAGATGAGACGACATGTGGACTCCGCAGTAGATGAGAATGGATATTGACACAGAGTCGGTTTTGCGCAGAAGAACGCTTTGACGGGAATAGCGTGTGTGCGCCGAGAATGGAGCGATGACGGCCTCTCGTTCGTTCGTCGGAAATAGATGCTCCGTAATACGGCTTTATGGGGCGTAATCGACGTCCTGAGAACGTTTTCGTACTACCCTCACCACACAACGCTTCACGAGAGTTCGTGCCTGTCGATTGAAACTAACCTTCACCAACTGTCGACATATAACTAGCTCCGACTTTCGAGGTAGTGCACGACCTAATACCCAACAAGAAGAAGCTATGCAACAACTCCGCCAGTCCCCGCAGCCAGCGCCTGACGCACAGACATTCGCGAGGCTCCATTGTACCAAGGTTGAGGCCTCTTCGATACAAATCGAAGACCGCACGTGTTTGCTTTGCGACACAGAATACGACGATCCTAGCCCTGATGAGGGAGGCGACCCCGAGCACCCTGTGCAAATTGACTTCGGCGACTGTCACCACGTCTTCGGTCATCGTTGCCTGCGCAGGTTGATCGATGCCCGAACTGCGTGGAGTAATAAGTGCCCGCTATGCCGGACGCAGTGGTTTGGCACTGTACCTGTACCTTTGCGCCCAGATCAAGTCATTTTCTACATTCGAGCAAGAGAGCCGGTATACTCTCCCTGGCCAGAACGCCGTCGAAGGGTGGAGACTGCAGTAAGAGCTCAAGCTGCGCGACTGCTTGGTAGGAGAGACAGGGACGGCGGTGGCAACCAAGCGGATGCATCACTAGTTGCAGACCTTGAGAGACCTGAGGGACGCACACGGCCAGACAACCGTCACATCTGGTGAGGCCGGCGAGGTCTGGATGACTCGCAAGATCCGTGTGATCTACTAAAATATGGAAGGACTGGCAGTGCTGGATGTCTTGTGCAGGAGCCCGAGGGCTGGTTTACTCGTGAATCGGACGACGAATATAACAGGCCGCTTCGGCTACTCGGTGGAAGGGTGGGCGTTGGTGCGGAGAACTGGAATACCATGGTTTTATTTGTAGTTGTCTCTTTGTTTAGCAGGCTGGTCTGTCGTGGGTTACTATGTGCGGATGCTGCGGAGAAATTAGATCCCCTAATATGAGCACTCTGCTGTCGGCGGTGAAGTCTCATGCTTGCACAGGGTACCAGAATAGGGAATGTTGATGCACATCCTACTGGATGTCATGAATTGAACGCGTGGAAGCCATTGTAATAATTCCGTACATGATTGCGACTTTGAAGGCTTCATGTGAAGCACGAAACAATGTATAAGTTCTCTTCGCAGGGTGTCGTTTCTTGATTCCTTACCATACCTACACACGTTGCGCAATTCTGTAGATCAGCTCCTTCAACATGCCCAGTCGACGAGCTGAACGACGCATTCGCGAGTATCTATCGCATTTGATACCCGTGCCACTACTCCATGTACCAGAAAGCGACCGGGTATGTACGTTGTGCTACGAACCTTTTCCTGCGCCAGACGAAGCCGGCGACTACCCAGTCCGTGTACGCTCCACCCACGCCAACTCGACTTGTCGGCATGTGTTCGGAAGGACGTGCATAGAAAGGCACCTAAGCAGCGGTAGAGAATATAGCAGGAGGTGTCCAATATGTCGCGAGAGCTGGTTTGACGACGCTAGAGCCGAGGCACTCGGAGGCGTCGACGAAGAGCCAGACCCGACATCACTTCTAGAGAGGAGTCTCTTTCGTGTGCCTGCGGTGGGACTGAGAGGTCGGCGAATTGAGCTTATCTTCGGGTTGGAGAATACCAATGAGCAGGACGTTCGGCGATTCTTCCAACACATAGGTGAAGCTCTACGTGCTATACCTTCCGCAGAACTCAATGCTCAAGCAGCTATCGACCAGACAACCCAGGCGATTGCTGACGCCGAGGAAAGATTGCGCGTGATTCGCGCCGTCGAAGCCGATCGCACAGCGCCCCCAGCTGTGGACACGTCGCAAGGCATGCGTCGTGGCAGCGCAGAGGAGGAAGACGAGGAGATGGCACGGCGAATAATGCAGGCGGGACTGCGACAAGCCAGGCCGGCGGTTGCGGATGCGGCCCTACAACCTCCTGCGGCGACTGCGGCGGCCCCGATCGCGGTATCACGTGAGGACGATGAGCGGCGGTTATCAGATCGAGAGTCTCAGCGGGGACATACACCGCCAGCGTTGCGACGCCGCGACAGATTGTCTGAGCAACAACACGACGCGATCCTTTCGAGCGCAGGCCGCATTACAAGAGCGATCGGCTTCCTGGAGCAGCTTCGCCGGATGGAAGAGATGACCATTGATAGTTCTGACATAGTTGAGCGAGTGCAAGAGGTCGAAGATGCCGTGAACGCTTTGTGGCGGGGTGTTGAGGACGACAGGCTGCGGCGAGGGCGCATTCGCTTCATGCGTCGCGACTCTTAAGCAATGACTAAGCAATGCGACTAGCTTTTGTATACTCAAACTTGGGAGTGCTTGCGTGTTTGGTTGCTATGATGTGAAGACAACGTGCTTGGGTGGCGATACTCGCGGCATCCGCCCGGAGATTGCGATTATCTCCGACGTCGCGCTAGTCGCGTCTGATTCTGCACCCACCAATTGCGCCGACGCGACCACCGCCAACGCGTGCAGAAGCGCGCAACCTGTGCCACATCGCCTTTGTCATCAAGCCGTGATACTGCGATCGATCTGCTGCCTCAATATGTCGTGTCCAGCAGCCGATGAAGACTTCAAAGGCGCCACAGATCGCTTTTTGGCGTGGTTCAAAGCCGGCGGCGGTGTCTTCCGCGACGACCTGCTGGAAATTCAAGATCTGAGACACAAAGACGCTGGCCGAGGAATCAGTATGCCCTCCGGTTAAGCAACACGTAAAATAGTGAATACTAATAGTGCATAGTCGCAAAGGAAGACATACCCCAGGAGACAACGCTATTCACCATCCCCAGAGACCTGATCATCACCGTGGAAACTTCCGAACTTCCTGGTAAACTGCCAGAAGTTTTCGACGCGTTTGTCGGTGGTGAAGGCGACGATGAGAAAGAGCCCCTCGACCCATGGACGTCCCTCATACTGGTTATGATGTACGAGCATCTACAGGGCGATGCATCACGCTGGAAGCCATATCTGGACGTACTACCACGGACGTTCGATACACCCATCTTCTGGTCCGAAGCGGAACTGAAGGAGCTTGAGGGAACTTGCCTTTCGGTCGACAAGATTGGAAAGCAGCAGAGTGACGACATGTTGAGATCGCGCGTTGTTCCTGTCGTTGAGGAAAACCCGAAGGTCTTCTATCCGGAAGGGGCTTCGAAGTTGAGTAGTCAAGAACTTCTTGATCTCGCGCACCGAATGGGCAGCACAATCATGTCTTACGCTTTCGACCTTGACAACAAAGAGGAGGAGTCCGACAGTGAAGAAGACGGATGGGTCGAAGATCGTGATGGCACCACTCCGCTTGGAATGGTACCAATGGCAGATATACTGAATGCAAATGCCGATTTCAACGTGAGTCGCATGCCAGCGCAGAGGCATACTTTAGTGAGCTAACAGACCCCGACAGGCACATGTCAACCATGGCGACAGTCTCGAAGTTACGTCGCTTCGATCGACTCTGCCAGCTGGGTCGGAGGTCCTCAACTACTACGGCCCATTACCAACGTCTGAGCTACTACGCCGCTATGGCTACGTAACACCCGAACATGCTCGTTACGATGTAGCGGAGCTATCTTGGAGCCTCGTTCGCGCAGCGCTCATTGAACAGCTCACAGTGTCGGAAGAGGTCGTTAGCAAGGTCGAGGTACGATGACGACCGTCATACTCCTGACGGACACATGAGCTGACAGTGATCCAGGCAAAGCTTGAAGAGAACGAAGAGTTCGAAGAGTACTTCATCATCGAGCGCGACTCCGGCGATCCAGATTCAGAAGGGCAGCTCACGTACTCGGCACAGCTGCGCGAAGTCTCCCCCGAGCTGGAAGAGCAAGTAAAGGCTGTGTTCAAGGGTATCAAGAAGCAAAAGTCAGAGCTCTTTTCGGAGAAGCGGAAGCGCGTTGACGACTACCAAGCGATCGTATCGAAGGCTCTGACTGCAAAGCTTGGGACGTATTCGACGACCATGGAAGAAGACGAGGCGCTTCTTAAGGGTGACGACCTGGCTAAGCGTCATCGCATGGCGATCACAGTTAGGCTCGGTGAGAAGAGGCTGCTTCATGAAGCTCTGGCACTTCTGCAGCGGGACGACGCGGATGATGTCGCAACTCAGGTCGGGAAGAAGACGAAGCAGAAGGCGTGATCTACGGATCAAATCGGGAGAAGTCGGTAGCCGCGTCGCATTCGCAGCATCTACAAACACACGAATCGAACTCCTCATACTTTATCGCATCCTAATCTCGCGCTGTAGATTCTGTTGCCGCCTGCTATTGCCTTAAGAAGAAGACATCTATTTACAGCGTCGCATGCGATGCAACGCGGTTATTACTAAGATTTAGCTTCCGAAGACACTCGCTACGTCTGTATTCTATAACCGCGAGATTACATCGTAAAATGCAATCTTTAATAGTAACTGTTGTCGCTATAGTAGAGTAACACTACAATAGAGTGTAACTAATGCTAGTGCTATAGTTTACTATTATAAGGCTTAGACTACATTACACATAACACGTAAGTAGCCTTTAGCTCTAGACTTTACGTAATATAATTACTCTAGTCTACTATTAAAAGTAATAAAAGGTTAGTGTTAATTAATTACTTACGCTATATCTTATTACGTTAATATTAACTATACTAAGCGTTATATTAACAACACGTATATAGTATTTACGTTCTAGTATAATAATATATTAAAACGCTTGCTATCTATAAGAAATAGATAAATATAAATAAATATAGTATATTAGAAGTTAGACACTTTTAAGTAACGTCTAGAAAGATATAAAAGATAGAAAATATATATTACTATTATCTATAACTAGAAATTACGCACTACTATATATATTATTATAGGCCTTATATCTAGTAATATATATATAGTATCTTATATATTCTTACTAATATAATATTAATAGCTTTAAGCTTACGTCTTATATCTTTATTATTTATATCTAGCTTTACTAGTCTTATAAGCGCGCCTTCTACTATAGTAAGTATTTCTATTTATTCTCTATATAGTGTAGAAAACTACTTAACTTTATATATTAGATAGATATAGCTCTATAGCTAGCTACTATAAATATAAGTTTTACTATAGTTAGAAATCTAAATAGAGTCTATTTAGGTTAAAAAGTCTATATATAGAACTCTATAACTAACTCTATTTAAGATAAACCTAAATAGAATTTTTTTAGTAAAGAGTTCTAGGTCTAGTAGACTAGTAAGTATCTACTACTAGATTTAAGCTTATTTTTTATAGTTATAGATTTTATAAATCTACTTATATAGTAAGATATCTATAACTAGCTTATACTTATAAATCTATAAAACTTATTTATATAGTAGAAAACCTAATTCTACTTATAATTAATAGTCTAGTAGATCTACTTCTCTCTTCTAGTACGTATACTTATAATAGCTACTATTATAGTAGATTATATAGTTATTAATTATATATTATTTTACTTAGAAGAGATACTCTAACTATCTAGTATCTCTACCTAGTATTACTAAGTACTATTAAGAAGTATAAGTTTAAATCTCTACACTAACGCTTTCTTATACTACTTAGTAAAGCTACTAATTAGCTATATACTATCTATTAAACCTTTTCTACTCTAAGCTTTATATACTAACTTCTTTATAGTTATTATATCTTATAGCTATATTAGAGTCTAGTAGTATAATAATACTAGTAGCTACTATATCTATTTTAAGCTATATAATAATAGCTACCTTATTATCTCTATAATTACTATATATATCTTTATTCTCTATCTTCTCTTTTCTCTATATATATATACTTTACTAACTATATATATTCTAGCTTATTACTATATTTAGTAAGCTATCTATTATCTCTAAAGCTAATAATACTCTATAAGATAGTAATATTATAACTAATAGCTATAACTAGTGTAAGTACGTAGTGTACCTTAATAATATTAGTCTATTCTAAGGTACACTAGATATATAGTTTAACTCTAAGATTCTATATAAGATTATTATATAAGTTCTACTATATCTATTATTTCTTATACTAATAAATTTAAAGATATAAAGCTAGATTTTAAAGAAACTATTATAGATAAAGTAGAGCTTCTCTAGAATACTATAGTAATAAGTTCTATATAGATTATTCTAAGTTTCTAATATACTATTAGTTTACTAACTCTAGTTACTAGTCTAAGTAGACTATACCTTCTAGTAACTAGACTAAGTAGGCTATACCTAGATACTTATCTAGTAAGATTATAAAAGCTATATCTTACTTAATACTAAGAAATAACTTAGTATATCTTTAGAAAGAGAGGTAGATTAGCGTATATTAAAAGAAGTTATAGTATCTAGTATCTATAAAATTAAAGTAGAAGAATAAAGTTTTTCTTTTTAAATATTTTATATTTTATAAAGTTTTTACTATAATAGAATCTAAGGTAGAAAAAGCTATAAGAATTAAATAATTAAATAGTATAGCTAACTATAATATAACCTTTTCTAGAAAGACTTTAAGTATAGTCTTATTTTTCTAGTCTAACTTTTAGAATTATTATATATAATTTATACTTTTAACTAAATCTAACTAGTAGGTAGAATAATATCTAAAGCTATTTATTCTAGTAGTGTTTATTAGAGGTATTTTACGCTACTTTATAAATATATTTTTTTAGAAATATAAGTTTTATGTATTTATTAATCTTCTAAAAAAAGATAGAATATTTTATACTACTATAATAGCTCTAATATTATACTAATAATTAAAGAAAAATAGAAATAGATTATCTTTAGATTATATTAGTTACTTTAAGTCTAATAGACTTATATAATACTTCTTTACTATTTCTATATTAAGATTATAAGTTTTATAGGCCTATTTATATAGCTATACTTTCTTTATACTTAGAGTTATAAGTTTAATAAATCTACTTCTTAATAGAAGCTACTAATTATATAGTTATAATTATAGTACTTTATATAGTTAATAATTTATAACTCTATTACTTATATATAAAATAGTATAACTATTATCTATCTCTACCTAAGTAGCTATAAGTATTATAAAGAGTATTAGTTTAATCTATACTACTAATATATTCTTATACTACCTAAAAAGCTATAATTTAGTAGAATACTATCTATAAAACTTTTCTAACTTAACACTTTATATACTAATAACTTTCTAGTAACTATAACTACTTTACTTAAGATTTAGTAGTTTAATAACTTAAGTAGCTACTAGACTAGTTTTAAGCTATACGCTAATAGCTACTTTATTA